AAGGAACAGCACGAGCCTATTACAGAGATCATGAATTTAATTAGGTGAAAATTAAATAATGCATACAAAATACCTAGTAAAAATACTGCAGTGTCTCTTCTTCACCTGACACCTATAAGTGGGGAAAAAGGGAGAAAGATGAGTACATCAGTGTGCATGATGATACAGATATTTAAATATATATCAATGCTTTTCAATTTATAAAATAAACCTATACCACTCCACTGACTTAATCCAGTCACACAAGGTATAGAACTACGCTGAAACATTCCTGTAATCATAATATATGCAAGTACAGAAAGGTAAGTGTACAGAGCAGCCACAGACTGAATAAGCATCACAGAAGAATACAGTGCAGACCTCTTTTCACAAGAGGTTTAAGTTATGTGATATGCTCTTCAGAGATTTGTGAATTCTTCCACAAAGCCCTTTCCTTTTGTTGTAGCTATGCTCAACCAGTATTAACTGCTTATTTATAACTCTGCCAACTCCTCCTTTGGTCATACATCTGGGAAAACACAACTTTATTAGTTAATCCATAAGACTATTTATTAAATGGGTACTTATAGATAATACTTAATAACCATCAATCACCTTTATACATGCTTCAGAAATATTTTTTTCCTTTTTCTCATTACTTTCTTTACATTTTATACATACACTTATGAAAGTACTATAGGATTTTTTCTACACTCTCTCTTTTTATTTGCTGTGTGTCTTTTTCTTAGGTCCCTCAGATGTTAATATGAAGTTAAAAGACTTATTTATCCAATAGTATCGTATACAAAAGTTCAGAGGTTATGAAAGTTTTATGTATTTTGTATAACATAGCTACTAACCTTAATATGTTCTCAAGATGACACCATTGGTATAGTTAGAAGTAACTCGATCTGTGAATAATACATTGCCTTAACCCAATTCACCTCTCAATATACTAAAAAAATCACTTTCTCTTTGACAGCAACCTGATTCACTATTGCTCTTTGTAGCTCAGACTTACATTCAGATGGTTGTTTGTTAAAACCATGTTTGGAGGGAACATTCTTGGTTTGATTATTTTTAAGTCAGATAAACAAGACAGAAGCAATAACTGTCCAACACTGAAACAAGAATTTAGTGTTTACCATGAAGTGCTGATGTGTTTGAGAACTCAGCACATTGGAACAGAACCTGTGGCATTCACAAGTGTAAGAACAGATTTGTTCCTCCAATGAAACCGAAGAAAGTAATAAAATGGTAATTCTCAGAATTGATTGAGAGAAGTTTGGATCTTACCACATTTTGCAATCTTTCTCTCTCCCTCTTTCTTTGCTCACTAAGGATTGAACACAGGGGCCCTCTGACACTGAGCTACACCTATATCCCTTTATTTTGAGATAGAATATCCATCTGGCCTAGCACTTTCAGTCTTCCTACCTCAGCCTCCTAATTTGGCTCTGTCTTTTTGTTTGGGTATCATGCAAGTGTCATGAAATACTAATGCTCCTACTGGCTCTAATTCTCCCCATGAAAAGACATGCTTAAAAATGAGGTACCAGAGATCAAAAAAGCATAAGAGATGGGGAAGAAAGGCAGGAAAAGGTGATGGAAGATAAATTGAGATGTGCCACACACATGACCTAACTTATGATGAATGCAGTTATTATGAACTACAAACCTGCATTAATAACAATAATGAAAAAAAAAAGAAAGTGGAAAACAAAAAGCCACACTTCTTTTGTTCCTTTCAAGCCAAAAGCACATTATGTAAGGTCACATCTTAAATGTTCCCTTGACTCTGAGCCATGAATTCTACTTTGGACTGAGCTCATTTGAGATAGCATCGCTTTTTGGTGTAGGATAGAAAAAAATGTTGGGAGTGAATTTAATTTCTCTACGAGTATTATAATAGCATAGAAATATCACTGTCATGTCTACCTTATAAGGTTTTCAGAGTTTCTGACTTAAAGCAGATTTGTAAATGTTTCCTAATTTTAAAATAATTGAAGTATACAAAACACAAACAAGAAAAAGACAAAATATTTGAGGAAATTGCCTATTATATTTAAAGTACAATAATGCCACAAGAAAGGCAGTAACACCCCAGCAATATGATGTATGGCAAAGACAATTATTTTCAGACATGTAAAAAACAAAAGAGTAACATTCTCTTTAAATATTATGATCAGATAATCTTTTCCCTTTTCTTTAGCAAATAAAGATATGGGTATAGATTTTTATTGATAGTCAACTGTAACAGAGATAGGTCCAATTAACAGGAGCTAAATTCTCAGTCATTGTTATCTATTTATGGCATCATTTGAAGGGAAAATGGTGCTTAGACAGAGTATCTGGGAGATACCTGAAGTCTTCCATGCATGTCAGGCATCACCAACAGGTCCATAATCTACAGTACACTTTTTGGTGGTCAATGATTCTTCAGGGTTTTTTCATTTTAAATAATAGGAATCACTAGTTCTAAGAGACTAATGACAAAATTTAGCTTCTGAAAATGCAACAAGCCATTTCTCTCTGAAGTCTTTACCTTCTCAGAGGTGATAAATGGGAGAAAATCATTAGCCCTGTGCTTTTTCTGAAGCCCTTACAACTATCCTTAACACAGAGACATTCCAGAGAGGGAAATAGAAAATAAGGCAATAAAAAAAAATGTAGGCAACTACAAGGGAACAAATAATAAAGGGGCAAATTTAGTTTTGAACAAGTTACTAATCAAATTCAAATGGTGTAGCACTCCAATCAAAAGTCAGAAAATGAATGGAGTACAATTACATAATGATGAAAGAGTCAGACAAAGTAAGAACAGATAAAAATGTTGAGTAAAAATTCAAGGATCAACGATGAAAAGTAAGTGCACAAGATTTTCGATCATCATTATCCAATAAGAAACACAAACTAAAAATATGATGAGTACCACTGCACATCTGTCAGAACAACTGCAAAGAAACAAGCACACCAACCAAATATCTGAATATGCCTAGTGTTGGTTGAGAATGTAGAGCAACTGGAGTTCTCATATGTGGCACTTGGAAAGAGAAATATTGTTGCCTATGAGGAAACAGTCGAACAGCTTCCTATAAAGTTAAGTCTACCTTTAGCAAAGGATCTAGTGATTTTATTTCAGAATATTTACCCTAGAGAAAAGAAAATATGTCCACACAGAAATATGTACTAGTGTTGAAGTTATACTCTATAGCCCTGATCTAGAAATAAGCCAAATACTCTTAAGGTGAATAAGCAAACTGTGGTACATATATGCAATGGAGTACTATTTGGCAATATAAAGGACAAAATATAGATACACACAAAACTTGAATGACACTGAAAGGCATTGTAATGAGTGAAAAAAGCTAGTCACAAGAGGTTTTCTTCTTGATGGTTCCATTTATATGGTATTTTTGAAAACAAAAATAATATGAAAGATAAATCATTGGTAGTCAAAGATTAAGGATGAGAAGAGAGTATCTTTATGAAGGGATAGTACAAAGGATTTATTTAGTAATTATCTGTATATAGATTTTGATGGTATTACATCAATGTATGTAAGTATCAACATTCCTAGAGTTGTGAAGAAAAATCAAAAGAGCTGACAAAAATACTAATATTTTCCTCAAAATAATGATATGGCATTATATATATTCTTCTTCTATTTTATCAATATGCCTCTCTAATCTGAGGTGTTAGAAGGGAAGGGAGCCTGGGGTGTGCAGCATGGCACAGGGAGCATATGGAAATGCTGTGTACTTTTTACTTAATTGTTCTGCAATCCTAAAGCTTTTCTAGACAAGTAAAATCTATTTGAAAACACTCACAAAAAACCAAAAAGAAAATACCTATTTTAGTTTACTGTATAAAATACAGCAGCACACTTTCCTCAAATCTTAAGAAAAATACTGTTCTGTGTGCATATTTCATTTACTTTAAACCATGAAGAACAAATGCTGTCAGACTAGAGGACCCAAGGACTTAGCTACCATCATAAATAGAGAAAACAAATATAGTCAACATAGACTTTATGATCCTAGTAGATATTCCTGCTGTTCAAGGCATAAGAACATTCCCTAATGATGGTACTCATATGCACATCTAGAAAGAAGCCTCTTGACATTTTTTTCTATAACTTTATCTTTTTTTTGGTACCAGAGGTTGAACTCAGGACCTTGAGCTTGCAAGGCAGGTGGTGGCACAACTGAGCTAAATCCCCAGCATCCTGTACCTTTAGCCAGAGACAAAAAATGATGGCATAGAGGAGTGTCATTGCATCTTTCTTACTACTACTCCTGTGGAACAACTGAACTTCAGTACCCAGAAATTTCCTCAAATTTTTAAGTGTCAAAAGCTTTGTTATCTTTCTCTGACTCATTAACATAGGCCTCCTGTGCAAGCTCAGAATGGCTGAAAAAGAACCCAACTTTGGAAATACTTGCAATATATTCAACACAGAGGTATATCAAAATTGTCTCTGTTGATCCTCAAATCAAAGAAGTGTGATACTTAGCTGTGAAATCATCATGAAAGGCAGGAATTTTGCATAAGTGGAATCCTCAGTTAGCATCTTTTTAAGTAAGCACCTAGTGGGCAAAGCTTTTATCAAGTAGCAAGATTGAATCTTACAAAATGCTCATTTCTAGTCTTTTCTGAGACCAAGGAACATAGGATGGTGGATACAAAATGAAATGCATGCAAACCAAAAAAGTAACCAAAGTTACTTGCCATTTAGAAACATTCCGGTTCAGGTTCATTTCTTTGGCTGATAGTTTTCTCCATCACTATTATAATACAATTACTTCCCCAGCTGGAGGTTAACATCCCATTCACTAGTTAATTTTTTTAAAACCATAATCTGCATTTTGCCTCACTCTTTGTCCATGGAATCTTGCCTATAGCTACCCTCTTCTTTGTAAATTAATTCCATCCTCTCCAAATGAGCCAGAGGATCTTTGTTAATATTCTGTTCAACTGCAAGAATTTAATCAATGTTGTCTTCCTTTGCCAAAATCTAGATAGATCATCGTATTTTTCCTTTCTATGGTCACTCCTGGTACCACTGACCATCTGTGAAGAGAGAGCCTGGTGAGTCTCAAATATCTCCATGAGCAAGATCTGTTAATAACTCCAAAACAAAGACAGAATGTGGGGAAAGTATCATAGTGAGAATTAGAGATTTGCCAATAATGTCAATAGCTATTACTATTTTTTTTTCCACAATCATGCTCCAATCTAACTCCGCAGGTGCACTAAGAAATCATTTATTTTAAACTTATTCAATTTATGTTAATTTAAAATTTCTCTAGTTTTCCTGTCAGGAATTCTGGGTCAGAACATTCCAAGCTTTGTGTGTGTGTGTTTGTCTAAACCCCTATGTCCACTGGTCTGCCTGCCCTTCAGTTTTGTCTTCCTCTTCTTTACCCTTCTTCCTGCAGTTGTCAAATTTGTTTTCTACAGTACAATCTTATGCCATTGACTCAGCTTTAAAAATTCTGCCATGATTCCCCCTTCAGAATACAACCAGAGATTATTTTTAGTATATTGCAGTTCCATTTTTGTTTTGCAGTTGGTTGATATACTTACAAACAATATTGAGTATTTTGTCAACCTGCTCACGCATTTTTCTGTCTCATGATTTGCATACATGATATTTCTTCTAACCAGAAGGCTCTTCTACCAATCTATCTGGAGATGAATTTACTATATTGTTGCCTCTGCTTGCTAGGTGGTTTCCTATCACCATTCTAGGCCTCCTCAGGAGGAGCTTATAATGTCTTCCTTTATATTATCATAAAGTAAGGCATACAATGTTTATACTCTCATTCTCTCGTGAATATAACTGTGTTCATAAATCTAAAGACACACCCGTAGATTGTGTTTCTGTAATATTTCAACATTTCTTCACTGAATAAACTTTAGGAAGAGGGAGCAAGAGCACCAAACTTGTAATAACCGTATGTTCCGCAATTAAGCATACATGTGCGGGCTCCAGAAAGCGGGCAGCACATCATGTAGTAGAGGGATTGGTTCACGTAACTAGGGAGGCCAATCAGTCCTACAATGTGCTGCTTGGAAGTGGAAAACCATGGAAAACTGGTGGTATAAGTCTAGTTTGAGTCTGAAGGCCTGACAGACACAACGGTGTCTGAGGAAAGAGAAAGAACAGAGGCCCAGTGACAAGGTAGGTAAGACAAGACAGGACAGTTTCTCTTTGCTTCATAATTTAGTCCTCTTCAGGTTCTGAAAGGGACTGGATAACGCCCAACCCCACTGGGGAGGGCAATCTACTTCACTTAACCCCTTGACTCAAAGGCTAGTCTTTTCCAGCAACTCTTCGCTAGACACAACCAGAAATAATCCTTAATGTAAGCCTCCTGATCCAGTCAGCATGACACAGAACCATCAGACTCAAAGTAGTCCAGTAGCAAAATATGTCCATATCCATTATGAAGTTATTTCAGAGAGGTGACTCAAAGAAAAGAGGATAGGTTTTCTTTCACTGCTAGGCTGATAGAAGAGTGAAGCCGTAAGGTGAAAGTAAGTGATACATCAACATACTGCTATTACAAATAGTTTAGGATTCAGAAGACTCTTTTCTTTTTCGATCATAGCCTTATTATGCTGCTGTTGTGTGTGGCTGTCAAATTTATTGCCAGATACTCAGAGCAGCATCCCTGGCGTCTGCTCATCGCATTACAGTATCTCCCCCAAAATGTGGCAGTCAAAAATGTCTTCAGACCTTGTCAGATGTCCTCGGTGGGGCACACTTTCGACAGTTGAGAACTACTGTGTCAGTTTAAAGATTTTCTGAGGATGAAAGTAAGTTATGTGAAATCATTTTCCTTAAATTTGGAACTTTTTAGAATACCTAAGATTAGTTATAACTTTATGATAAATTGGAAATAAGCTAGAATTGTGGTTTATAGCATAAAAATTTTACTGTTCTTCTTTTTGTTTTCGAAGACTTCAATGGAATATGTATATTATATTCCAGTACCTAGAAGTGACCTCTGGGGTTTGAAGTGTGAGATGACTTGTCCAGGGGTATGGACTTGTAAGTGAAGACCTGGGAAAGTAACACAAGTTTGCAGGTCCATCAGTGACCATACCTGCTGCAGCTGCATCATACCCTCTTGCTTGACAATGTCTATGTTATATCATTGAATTTATGCTTTTTAAAAGTCAGTATTATTAAATTCTATAGTTCAACATATTTCTATACATTGTCTACAGTGTAGGCAATAAAATCCCAGGCTCTGAGAGTAATAATTCAGGGTTTCCTGCTAACTATGAAACTAAGATTTGGACATCACTTTCCGATGGTCTTGTTTTTGTGTCTATGTACCTAACTCCCACCTCTTCAAAAATAGGTAAATCATAGCATTTAGTATCTCCACAACTCATATTAGTTGCTTTCTTCTCCACTTCCTCCTCCTTTTTCTGCACTACTGGGGTTGGAATCCAGGGCCTTTATAATGAGCTAACTCCCAGGCCATTTTTAATTTTTATTTTGAGCCAACTTCTCATGAAGTTGCCCAGGATGGGCTTCAACTTGTTATCTTCTTGTCTCAGACTCCCAGAGTGCTGGAATTACAAGGTGCAGGCCATGACAACCAGCTGTTCCAATTCTTTGGTCAGATCATGATTCACTATTAAACAATCAATCTCATATTAAATATGGTTACAAATCACTGAACACTTTTCATGTCAATATTATTATAATTTTCAAACCAATATGCTCTCAGAATTTGCATTTTATTGTTGAAAAATCTGAGAAGCTTACAGTAAAGTATTGGCCATAGCTTGCATATATGAGCAAGGATTCAAATCTCAGATCTCCTCTATATCAAAACTTATCCTTAAATATCACCCTATATTAATTTTTATATGAAATTAGTAAAGATATAGGCAAAGACCTGGGGGGAAATTTTGAATCCATGAGAGTCCTCCAAAATCAGACTTCAAAATGCACATAAGTAAACAAAGGCAATAAATCTATCTTTACATGGGTGTAAAATACATATGACATTGTCACCAAATTGTATATTTTGCTCTAATATTTGATATCCTTGTTCATTTGTAGCATACAGCTCTTTCTTGTATCTCCACTAAGCTCCACTAAGAATTCCTTGATATAACCAAATCTGATACACATCCCTGCTGGGTTGAAAAAAAATAGAAAAAGGAACATAGCAATAAGAAAAAAATAAAAGAGGCTCTGGAGAAAATTGTAAATAAACACAATCATGATCCATAAGAGTAGTGGGTTAGAGGATTATTAAGAAGAAATAAAAAGGGAAATATTTGCATAATTTTCCTTTTAATTTAGTGTTTAGATATCTTTTTTTTCAGCTTTAATTGAGTTTATTGGTACATTTTAGGGATACAGTACAGTTACATTCATTGTTGGGATCCTGTACCTCTATATGACAAGTCTTGAGTCTCATTTTTTCCCCTTACCTCTGCCCTCCCTTCACCCCCTCCTCCCCTCCCCATCTAGTGTTTAGATATCTTATTAGAAAAAGGTTAAAACATAAAAGGTATACATAAATTTATGAAAAAATCGCCTATGAAAAATTTAATAGTTATAGCATAAATTCATCTTCAAAAACACTACTAAATGTTTTTCACAATTTAATCAAGCACTTACTATATGCTGGAATCTGCTCTGTCTCATACGGATTTAAAATAAATTCCAAGAGGCAAAAATTCTGAGGAATATATTTCACTCTTCTCTTTTTTAAGCCTATACCTTAGATCTGAATGGGATTTGGAAATAACAGAATATTTAGTCATTTGGCGAGCATAAATTTCACCCTTAAGTAATGAGTGCATAGGCCGCTATAAAGGTCTATATCCTTTGGTAATATAAAAAAATGCTTTAGGGTAAAGGGAAGTATTTGAACAACTGTTATAGGGAAAATGGTCATTGGGAATGGATAAGGTTAGTTGTTTCTACATAAAAATAGACTTGTTGAGACAAGAAAATAATATAATGTATCATTTTTCCTTTATAAGAACATTCCATGAAAGCAAAAATTATCATCAGGATATCTCTCATTTAATAAACATTTTCATACTTTCTTTGAAACTTGAGGAGTTTGTTAAGTTATGCAATTAATTGTGTATTTTATATCTGTGTATAATTGTATATTTGATGAACTTTTAAGAAAAATAAGTTTTCATTTGTCCAAAAGGTTTTTTGGATTTAATTCTGCTTCCAAAGTTGAAAACATTTGCCAAGTCTGTGTCACAAATTAGACATCTGTGAAACAAGCAGCAAGTTTGTTAATTATTGGATTAATTTAATGAACTTATTCTCATTAGGCTTTATGAGCCATGCTGTACACGGCAACGTGTGAAAGTCCACAACCACAACATGGCAATGTCAGTAGGTAATTAAGGACATTGATGAGGATTTTTGCAGAAACAAGATGTGGCAAATTGTTTGTGTAAAAATACGTTATTAGATGGAATTAAGAGTTGATAATTACAGAGAATTAAGTAGAGATCATTTTTGTTGTAACAAATTAAGAGAGAAGTCAGTTTGGCTCCCCAAACAAATGTTGAATATACACATGAATCATATTTTTTTCACAGCCTACACTTCATTCTGAGTGTGATGAGCTTTCTAATAGTGTTTTACTGCTACATGATCTGGAAGTAGGCACAGTTAGTTTGTCACCACGAGAATTTCTAAAGTGTTGATCTTTCAGAAAAAGAATCTCACACTTCAAATGGCCTCATGATGGAAAACATATAAAACAGATGTACTTCTTCCCCCACCCTATTTTTTTTTAAATCTATTGGCACTTGGTTGTTATCAATCCTGAAAATAAATGAAAATCAACTATGACTGGAATGTAAAACTATGTGTTCCAACATATATTCTACCTCCCTCAATTTCTCCAAAAAGAAAAAGCTGTGGAGGGTCACAGTGGGTCTGAGTTTGGCAATAAATTAAAGTAATTGTTTAAAAAAATCAAACATGGATTTATGATGTCCTAAAAAAATTAGTAACTCTTTAAGTTCAGACCTTTGTGCCTTTAACAGCATCGTTTTAAAGCTACTTAACTAATATCTAGCATATTGCCGGCATAAAAGAGCCAAGTTAAATGATGGGTAAAGAGGAAGTAAAATCACCTTTAAAAATAACTGAAGTGTTCTCAGCATTACTTTAAGCATTAATTTTAGCTGATAAACTGAAACTATATCCACATTTTCCTGCAACTCTCATTTAAAATACACTAAAATATATAAGCTATTATTAACGAGAGAGATAATAGTCAAGTAGTTTTAAAGTTCAATGTGTGAAAAAAATTAATGGAATCAATGACAAAAATGATGTTAGTAATAATAATGTGATTATTATAGTTATTTTTATAAAATCTCAAATTTAACATGCTTAAAAATACTTTGATTTTTACCTCCTATGAACGCGACAATGATTACTTTTATTAATTTGATTTTGTTTTATATATACATGAACGAAGTCTGTCCTTTTCAAACTTAGGATTACTCTTCTCTTTTCAATGTTTGAATACAGGCATTTGGTCTATCGCCAGCGTTTATTACTAGATAGGAAATAAATCTCAGGGGTATCAGGATTATGCTTTTGTTGCTGTAGAGATTTCAGTAAGGCCTGTGGAAAAATCTGTATGCATATGCATACATCATGCCACACAATGAAGTATTTTTTCCATGGGGCCTATTTTATAATTTAAAATAGATAAATTAAAAGTTTCAGGCTTCTAATTAAATGGCTTCTGTCAAGTTTCCTTCCTAGCTCTTAGGACTTTGCTAACAGGCTGGTGAGTAGGACTGTTCGAGGAAGCACCGGTTTGTGTATGTGTGTATTTTCCGTGTTTGTGCTCTTGTCTTCTACGTGGGAGTGACAATAATCAGAGGGGTTTCTTAATTAAACGTAAAGATATTCATACTTCAAGGCTACAGAGATTCATTCTGATAATAAATTAGATATATATAATAATAAAGAAGCATGACATTTAAATAGCAGGCTTGTGGATTTCACATGAAATAGCTCTACTGCACAGCTGAGAGGTTCAGTAGGATTAAGGCAATTTAATTAGTGATAGTTTGAAACGGAATTTTCAGACCCATGTGACTTTCCTTAATGAAATCCTCCCTTCAAATATCTAGTTTAGTCACAGATGAAATGATGAGAAGACAAGAGAGTTCTTCAAGACATTATCAAAGATTGCAAATCTCTGGAAATCAATTCCAATCAACACAACTTTATTGCAGAGTGATTTTGAATGTTGAATGCTTCATAGAACACCTTTGACATAACAAGCATTGAGATACTGATAGGAAAACAAGCTATTTGCAAATGTGCACCAGATCATTAATTCATTTGAAGTACACCCCTGCATGTCCAAGGTCATGTCCAAAGTAGTGAAAAGTAAAGCCTCCGTAACGCATTCAGATAAATATTTTATATTGTTTATTTTTTTCAAGAACCTTTGGATCTGGAACACTGTGAAGTCTGCTTGGGATGATACTGTTCTACTGGTAGACAGGCAAATAGGAAATGAAAACATGATTACTAAGTAATTCAGGCATAAGTGGAACATGGGGAAAAAAAGGATTGGAATTTTTCTTAGGTCAGATATAAGGACTGGTTCTATAAGGTCAGATATAAGGATTGATTTCCACATGTCAGATACTAATAATGTCAAAATGAATGTATACCATTCAAACTCCATACTTAAGGTAAAACATTATGATTATAGCAGACATTTACAGAGGGCTTATAAACTGCTAAACCCTCAGTCAATGTTGTGTGTTATGTGTAGATACTTATGTAATTTTTTTTCTTTCTTTCTTTTGATACCAGGTATTGAACTTGGGACTTTGCACTTGCCAGGCAGGCGGAGGAACCACTGAGCTAAATCCCCAGATTACCTATGTCATTTTCACAATTGTATAAACTTATATTTTCTTGTTTGGATTTATCTTATGTATGAGACAGAGATAATCAATAGGATTGTAAAAATGATGCAATTATGTACATACAACACTGACCCAGGGATTAGCAGTTAATAAACACTCAATAAATGTTTGCTATAATCATAATATTTTATCTTAAGTATGGAGTTTGAATAGTATATATTCATTTTTACATTATTAGTCTCTGACATGTGAAAAGCCTGGGTGTATACAGTGGGCAGAGAAATTTTATATGGAGTCAGCACATTCTCGTAAAAATAAAGAAAAATCTGTGAAAGGATTTTAAGGGAGTCTTAAAATACGTTACTTTAAAGTGGTGAGCAAAGTATGAATAAAGGGCACAGTTAAAGGAGAACAGCTTCTGGTCGATGAAGTATTCTCCATGAAAGAGAGATGATGAAAGATTGAGCTTATAAGGAGAACACAATGGTTGATATTAAAAAGAAGTATACATCTGGGCCTGGGATGTAGCTCAGTGGCACTGTGCCTGCCTCCCAACAGCAAGGTCCTGAGTTTGATCTCCAGTATAGAATAAAAAAAGTATACATCTAAATACACAAGATATCTCCATGATAGTATATGTGTATTAATCTTTCTAATATATTCTTTCATTCTCTTGTCACTGATCGCCATTTCTGATGTCAGGTATAAAAGTTACTAATAAAAATGTGTTAAGTTTCTAAAGAGATGTGTCCTGCCTTCTCAGACGTGTACATGGAACAGACAGCAGGCTGTGGAATTTACCTAACAAGATTATTAGGATTAAATGGTCTGTGAGAAATACAGGAAAGGAGTAAAAGGAATAAAATATTGTCCTTTCCACCTCTACTTGTGAGTGTTGAAGCAAAGGAAATACCTCTCATATATTTCCAAGAAGAAAATATAAAAACCTACAATAAGATATTTTCTATTTCACCCCTGTATTAATTACATTTACCTTCGGTTGGTCATTCTCAAAGGAATGAGCCTTACCAGTCATTTCACAAGGCCTCATTTTTTCCATTTTCGATTACTAAGCCTTCCTACACCCTAGGGTTGTATGTTTGGTGCCCCAGGAAGTAGATTCTGAGAGAAAATTGGGATGAAGATGTTGTACGCAGAGGTGGTGCTGCAATTACACCTGTGAAAAGAAAGGAGGGGTGCGGACTCAGAAAAGGGAAGACTTTGCCATGAATCTCAGACCTACCAACATCACACAGAACTCCATAACAGGAAATTCTTCTACAGCGTCCCAGGTTTGGCACAAGCTTTACATTCCTGTGTCTCCTGATCCTTGGATGCAGACTTCCCTGGGAAAAGCCATGGTTTTAGGTAAGGCATTTGTTCTCTGCTACCTTTGTGGAGATCACAAACATCCAATTAGCTTTTCTGAGTTTTTCTAAGCAGAGGAGAGATTGTGCCAGCCAGTATTCACATGTGTTTACCGATTAGATGTGGGTTATCAATGGATGGATTATGACCTTGGACAGGGCCACTCTCTTCAGCCAAGGTCACATGGAAAAAAGCTGAAAGCTGAGTGCTGTCTACTGATGTCACTTCTAGTAGCTGGGATCCAATTCCATCAGTTGAGTATGGTTGCCCTATCAACAGCATCTCTTACATTGAGTAATAAGAGGGAAAGCTAATAAAACTAAGTCCCTTGAATATATTTGTACCTCAGTGCCTCAAAAACTCTATTTCTTTGCAGCCAAACATGGTTCAAAAGTGTCTCATCTTCTGTCGCTACTTCCTATCAATACAGCCCCCTGAACTCACAAGCAAGTTTTCATCATCCACAATCTTCCCTCTCCAATATCCCCCCAAAATAATTGCCAGGAATGGACACCTCAATCCAGTATTTATTTTTTTATTTTTAACTTACCGTTTTCATTGTTAACCTTAATAAGTACTGTATTTATTTTTAAGATACGTTATGTACATACATCATACCCCCTAAGGTTTGTATGTACTATAGACATGTAGAAATTTTTTAAAAACCTGAGGAAAAAAATATGAAAGTTTAAATAAATGATAACCATGAGTTATTCCTATGTAAATCTATGGAGGTCATATATATTTCCTTTTATATTTTAGCTACTTTTAAAACTTTAATAATTATGATGATCAATTATAATTCTGTTGGACTGTCAAAATTGTACATTTGACATCATTTATATATAATTACATTATATGTTATTACTTTTGTATGTTATTACTGTTATATGTTATGTTTTACAGAATCCCTTTTGTTTTATTTTCACTTTAAATGTGATATTCACTTGAATGTGCTAACATTTTCAATTATGCAACATAAAACATGGGCACATGTTTATTTAATGTCTAATGCTAAAGGTATTTTACACTTTTTGAACAGATATAAATAATATATTTTTCAACATTTGTAGTAATAAACATATTTATATTAATTCCATATTGTTAAATTGCATTAAATTTATACAGTCAGAGCTATAGCACCAAAAACTAATCTTTTAATATGGATTTATTATTTTTTTGTTTTTTCTTAGAAATAAATGAATCATTATAGTGTCAAGGAATGATAAATAGACCTGTGACCCTGAAATACCTGGCTCTCACTTAGGTGTTCTCATATCTTCAGCTGTCTGGGGCAGGCTTATCATCCCAGACTCCCAGGCAGGGGAAAGATGTAGGGTGCAGGCTTCTCCTTACCATCACCAAATTGGAAAATATATATAACCTGGGCCTGAAAAATTCAATTGTGGAGGTTGAACTCAATTCACGCTTTCTATAAAGTATTTTTTGCTCTTCTAGAGAATTTTTTTTTTCTTTTTTTTGGTAGCGGGGATTGAACTTGAGTCCTTGCACTTGCGAGGCAGGCAGCGGCACCACTGAGCTAAATAACCAGCTTTGAGAATTTTTCAACAGAAAAACAGCATGCGACTAGTTTATTTTTAGCAAATCCTGGAATTTATGGCAATTTCTTGGGAGAAAATCTCTAAAAGCAAAAAAAATCTTTATTTGCAGAAGAGAGTGATCATTTTGTTGGATATGGGTACTCAATGGAGAATCCTTTTACATAACAGTTTGGAGAAATTATTCCATTATAAATGAGAAGTGTGATATTAATTGAAACTTGAGTGTTTACATATGACACAAATCTTTATGAGTTCTCGGAATTGGTTACATTAATATGCATGTTTTGTCATTCTGAGGTGTCTTCCGTGTGGAAACTCATGTTCTTCATCTGTGGTGTTTTTATATTACTTCATGCCTCTATTTTTATCTCTTGTCTCTAGTAGCTATTCTTTCATTTTTTGAGATAAAGTCTTGCTATATAGTTCAGGCTGGCCTTGAATTCACTATGTAGTCCTGGCTGGCCTTGAACTTGCAACAATCCTCCTGCTGTACCTTCCCCAGTGCTGGATTATAGGCACGAGCCACTATGCCTGGCATCTAATAGCTTTTCTTAATGATTAGAAAATAGTAATGAAAAATATGTGATTTTTCAATTCTGTTTACTATGTTAGCTTTCTGTTATCAAAACATAATTGGGGCCAGAGATTTAGCTCAGTGGTCTGCCACCTGCCCTGAAAGCGCCAGGTCCCAAGTTTGATCTCCGGTACAAAAAAAAAAAAAAGCCATGCAAATCAATTTAAAAGGAAAAAAAATTATTTTGGTTCATGATTTCAGAAATTCCAGTTCCTGGTTGCACAGTTCCAACATTTTGGGCTTGTGGTGGCACAGTACAGTACCTCACGGCTGGAGCTGTAGAGGAGTCTGTCACCTCATGATGCCTAGGAAGCTGGGGCTGGGCTTGAGGTCCCAATACCACTTCCGGGAATGATCTCCAGGCCCTTGTCCAGGCCCTAGCACCTTCCACTAGGCCCTGAATTCTAAAGGTTTCCACAGCTCCCAGTAGCACCACAGAAACAAGCCTTTTGACATGGCCTTTGGGACCATTTACAATCCAAAAAATAACACTTGTTTTCAGAAACTTATCTTCTAATATTCTTACTATTTTCAAGATATCGATTGAAACTTTTTTGATGTTTTATTTCCTTTATTATTTCTTATGTTCTTCACATCTCTTTTGTATTTATTTGTTTACATTGGTAACGTTCATATTAAAGGGCTCATTTCAGATATACAAGGCCAATTTGCTATTTCGTTCTTGTGAAACAGAGGCACCAGAAAAGTTGGTTGAAGATAGCATTTTACAGCTGATAGGATTCATGTTAGAGTGCATGAAAATGCAATGGGTCTTTTCAAGGGAGAAACTGTAGGTCTCAGTATCTAAGATTACTTTTCTGTACTATTTTGCCCAAAGAAAAAAGATCCAACTAGGGAGTCCAGTAGGAGAAGGAAGATTGTGGGTCTTACGTCATTATATAGACTTTCACTTGCTCTTCACACTTTTATTCATTAATTTATTCTTATCAGCTCTGTTTTGATTATCTGGTATGTGGCAGGTACAATCTGCTAGGACTAGGGAGATGTTCTTCGTTTATTGTGTTAGTCTGGATTTTCCAAGACGCAGACACTAAGATGGGATTAAATATGCAAATAGTTCATTAAAGGAAGTAACTGTGTCAGAGAAAATGAGGAGGAAATTGAGAAGGCTTTAAAACTTCTGCTCCTGAGTGGAAGAGAAACCAGGGAAAATTGAATGGAAACATACTAGATTACTGTGCATCCTAAAATAACAGGTTTCCTGAGAACATCTGGGTGTCCTTGAGTCAAAAGGAGCATGAAATGAGTTCTGTTTCTTTGCAGAAATAGACTTGCCTTCCTTTAGCTCTTTTTATCTTAAAGAAAAAAGTTTATAAAAAGTATGCCAAATGGTCCCCCTAGTGGCATGGAAGAATTAGTCCATCCTTCTAATAACTAGCTCCATTGTATGTTTTAGAGATAGAGCTAGAAGCACTCTATGTCAGGCAGCTGTAAGCAAGAAGACTATCATGTGACTTCATTTCCACACTGCTGCTAAGGGGAGCCGGTTCTTCATACCCTTTTAAAAATGGGCAGGGAAAAATATCAAACAATCTGTTAATGAGCATTTGGTGAAGTGTAATGGATACAGGCTAATTCACTAATTGAGGCTCATTCCACAACTCTCCACTAATAAGCATCTTAATGTGCTTAACTACAAGTGTCCAAAACAGTTACTGAGATGTGTGGAAATTTCTCATTCTGTTTGTGAAAATTTTGATAGTGTTGCAGTTTTATTAATTGAGAGAAAACGTTGCACTAACAATGAAGAAAATGTAAAAGCATGAAAATAATACAATTACATCGAAAACAAACTAAATAGTGGGGCCAGGGATTGAGCTCAGTGGTTCTGCTGCCTGCCTTGCAAGCACAAGGATCCGAGTTTGATCCCCGGTACCAAAAAAAAAAGAAAGAGAAAGAAAACCTCAAATTAACTGTCACCTAAAGTATTTTTGTAATAACTTTTATTGTAATATGACGCTGATTTTAGTTTTCTAGTGATGCTAAACAAACCTGACATTGAAAATTTTCCTGATTAACTTTTTAAGGTTATAACAAGTATACTAGTCAAAATCTTATTAATTATAAATAAAAGACAAAGTTACACTTCTTGGTTTCATTCAAATTTGCTTCCAAACATTTTCAATTATTAAAGTCAAAACAGGTTCAAATTACTCATTATATTAAAACTGTTTTGTCTTCCCCTCTTCTTCTTTCTCATCTACTGCTTCTCCTTTCTTACAGACTTCATTCTCACAGAAGAATCGTTGTTAAAAATGGCTTTCCTCCACCACTTCGTGGAGAGCTGCTGTGAGATCCTTCCAGCTTCCCTTGAAAAGTAGTCTAGCATTTCTCAGAAAGCCTCTCTCAAAGTTTTTACATGATACTTAAGAAAAGAAAGTGGAGAGATGGATATTCTTCACAGGGAAAGAAGATCTCACACACAGGAACAAAGCTGATTAAAATAAGCACCAAAGTTTACATATACCAATTGTAAAAGTCCAAAAGAGATGACTTTGAAAAAGTGAACGTTTCCAATTTTTTTCCAATTTCTTCGATTTGTGGCATTTTTAAGCAGAAAAGACACAGAGCTAATTTATGTGGCCACTAAGATATTTTGAGTTTAAGTGCTTACCTCCACTATAGAATAGTGATGGAAAGAAAAGCGTCAGGAATGTAATTACACAAAAGGAGCATATAGTATTTTTCCTGACCTTCAGCTAAACTAGAACATTCATACATGTACTACTCAAGGGCCAGAGCAAGCAACTGACCTCTTCGTAAGCAAAATATCTGAGGGCCCCTAACTCATGCTGTCAATGAGCTAACCCCATGGTCTGAACATAATATGACGAGGGTGTTAGCCTCAGTTTTCTGATTTCTCTATTGCTGACATTAAGACTGAAAACTCAAGTGTATAAGATCTCTAGTGATTGGTGAGTTTATTGTTGGGCACTTCCTCCAGGTATATTAATAATCAAAGCCATAAGGATAGACGTTGAAAGAGTTTCCTTTTTTCCCTTTTTTTTTTAATTTTATAGTATTTCTGACAGTGGAAATAATGAGGCAAGAAGAGGTGAAACACCCAGTGGAGGTGAGAGCAATAGCTATTACACCCTACTACATCTTAAATCCTTAATGTGAGTCTGGCATTGTGTTATCCTATTTTTATTTCTTCTTAATAGATGAAGAAATAATATGTCAAAGTTTTTATTTTTTATTTATTTATTTTTTTGGTACAGGGGATTGAACTTGGGTCCTTGAGCTTGGAAGGCAGGCTCCCGAACCGCTGAGCTAAATCCCCGGTCCTTTTAAAATTTTTTTTATTTATTTTATTTTCAAAGTTTTTA